AGGCCGATCGGGATGCGTAAATATCGGACTGTCTTCAACAGAAGATATATTCGATGAAAATGAATAATCGTACCTGTTTAACAAACTTTAACTCCATATGAATCACACACAATATTCACGGTGTTTACTTCTAAACCCCCTTTAATGCATCTTTTAACATGCCGTCTTAGCCATATTTTCGTTACTTAACATGATCAATTCTCAAGTTACTTGTTGAACAGTAATGACGTCATCGGTCAGAGATCTTAGCCCAAGTGACAGATACAGCATAACAAAATAAAACCATTTCATTTTTGTCAATATTTGCATGTTTCTATTCAATTTCAGGAGTTATTTTACATCTCTAAATACCAATATTAAGAAAATTTGTGTTCTAAATTAACCTGATCTCGACCACTATGACGTCATATTGTATCACTGATTTAGTCAAGTCAGAATATCTGAGTGTTTCCTTAACTCATCTGCGTGACCTTGTCAGCAAATACAATCCATCATTAAGTCAATTGTTGACCAACGGTTTTTTTATACTAATCGTTAGACTATCATTTACACACTGAATTGTCTACGGACATGTTAGTGTACATGTAAAAACTAAGTAACGGTCTATTAAGACTGAGCTGATTAATGTAGTACAAGCACCCATGAAATATGTTTTAACCGATTTTTTAAAATAAAATTTAATGGAAAAAAGTCGCTATGTCAATAATCTACCTGATCTATACATATGGCTCATGGCAGATATGACCGGTCAACACGAGATGCTTACTCCTCCAAGGCATCTGATTCCACCTCTTGAATATCCAGTGGGCTTTACTTTATGCCCTATTTAATATTTGTATCGTTTGTAGATATTTTGAGATCAGTTACTGTTAGTTATCTTCGGATTTCATAATAACTGATGTATGAAAGAAAAATAATAAGCTATAGCATGTTTCCATAAATCGTATGTATATATATATATATATATATATATATATATATATATATATATATATATATATATATATATATATATATATATATATATATATATATATATATATATATATATAATGTCATCTACATGCGATTGACCACCTGTTATTAAATGCAAAGTAACTTTTGATCCATGATAGTAGAGACCTGATATTTGAACATATTTATAAGAAGTCTCCATAATTTGTAAAAAATAAAGGTCCAAGTTATATCAAGAGGTCAAAGGTCAAATATTGTGACGTCATCTACTGATTCTATTTATTCTTCTGCATCATTTTAACTTGGCAAAATATCTAAAACAATGGCTCATTTTTTCCTACTTTTTATACATTTTAATTTGAATTTAAGCTTAATTATTCTATCGATTTTTGGTAAAAATTTAATTATTTTTTCTTGAGAGATCATAAAGTGTTGCATATTTACATGTGAATTTGCAATATTAAGTTATCAAATTGGTGAGTTGTTGGACGTATTAAATACGATGTTATCATCTATGATCTTTATAATGACCTTCATAGCAAATATAATCTATCATTGGGTCTTATTTTTCGCTGACTTGTTTCATTCCAATTATGACTTGCAGGTGTCATAACAGTATTTCAGTTGAGTCAAAACATGGCTGACGCAAAATAATTCCTGAATCTCCCCTCCCGATTTGGGCATTTTGGCACGAGACTAGAGTTGAATTTCTTATCAGATGAAAAATTATATGTAAACTTCCTGTATTGACCAGATTCATGTTAATTGAAGGCGTACTGATTTTTCTATATTCTGTATTTGTGTGGGGAGTGATTTGGTCCTGAACTTGATTTTCAAGCACCTTCTCAACTTTGACCGAAACAAACTTGCGTGCCTTGCCGGATGGTTATGTATTCTTTGGTACTTAAATCTTAATAAAGAATTGTTTTACAAGATCTAAGAATGAAACCTCTCAAAAGTTTGTTTTAAATTAAGACCACCTACTCTAAGTTGCATATTTTTGGCAAGAATATATAGCAAAATTTAATACTGTTGTGTGACCTTAATACGGAATTCAATTCGGATAGCTAAGCCTACCTGATCAAAAACTATGGCTCACAGCTAATGTGACCTGTCAACAGGAGATGTTTACTACTCTTGTTCACCTGATCTCACATTTGGAATTTCCAGGGGTCCGTGTTGTATGCGAAATTTACTTCCAAACATGACTGAAGCCAAATAGTTCCTGATTTTTCCTCTTCAAATCGGGACTGATATTTTTCAAGATGATAAAGTATGTGTAAACTTTCTTACTTTAGCAGAATCATGAACTCTTCCGGCCTGCTAAATCTTTTGGGTCTTAACGGGACTGTTGGAGCGGATCTCAAGGTTTTCAATGAATAAAAACGATGGAAATTAAATTTAAGTAATTCTCTATATCATTGAATGATATTATTCCTATGCGAGTAATACATTCACCAGAAAACGCAAAATGCTAATGAAAACAGCTGACAATCACTACTTCTTAAGGATAAATTTATTTTATAGATAACAATTATAATTTCTATTGACAAAACAGATGAAGAATTAAAGAAGCTGGAAAAATATCAGACCACATCAGCGGAACTGATGTTTTTAATGAAACTCATAAAATTTCCGTATCACTTGTAAATTTTATATCTTGCGTATCTACTTCGCTGTTTCGGGTGAAAGTGTGTGTGGGGGAGGGGGTTGGTTGATCTTGGAAAGAGACTTATTATTCACCATCATATTGTAGTAAGTATGAAGTTTTAGCATTTTAAAAACTTTATGATGATTTTTGTGATATAAAGGTCAAGGTCATTTTATTTATAATATAAGACATATAACGAAAGATAGAGAGAGAGAGGAAAAGGGAGGTGAATTATTACGTTGTCTTCTTTATTTTATAAGAGGAAATAAAATGCGTACATAACATATAAACAATCTTTTTAATTCACGCAAAACATTTTGATATGTAAATACAAAGGGTTTGCTTCTCTCCTCCATCGCAAGAGAACTTTTACCTCTATACAACGTACTTATGTGTATCACCCTTATAGCGTCCCCGTAAAGTACATAAATGAAAAGAAAATGAATAGTTTGTAGTGTTTAAGTATTGTTGGTCTTAAGTTTGTTTTGAAATACTACGATATTTCATTTCTTCTTAATCATATCAAGAAACTGATAATATATAAAAACTTCATAGGCGGACTTTTATGTACCCTAGAGTTTTTGCGAGAAAGAAAAAGACAAAGAAATTGGATAAATCACAATTTTAAAAAAGATGAAACAAAAAAAAAAAAAATGTTTATATAACGTTTTTAGGCCACACGTTTCAGGAAACTGAACTTAAATTATTTTTTCTATTCTAATGACAACGCTGGAGAAAATTTTAAATAAGGTTTTGCAAAACTTTAAATAGTGATTATTATGTCTATGGAAGTTTCAATAATATTGTCAAAACCGTCTATGATAACATTCAAGGACAAAACCATGTGTGAAAATACCGCGAAATCGATTACTCAAATGCATTTTTTTTTTAATTATTCGTTCTTTTTGTTCATTCTGTTCCATTATTTTACAGGAATCACTTTGATAGGATGCAATTAATAACTCAATGAAGTAACAAGACAGATTTTATGAAAAATTACAGAAAGAAATGGAATTTAAAAAAGAATATATGAATTTTTGTCTGTTGCCGTGGCAACAGTGCCAAATCTGAAAATTGTAAAGGGATTTAACACAACCACATATGGTGATTAACATTTCTATAAAGTTTCAGTTAGTTTGTCCAGGCCATTCTCGAAAAAAAACTTGCAAGGCGGAATCACTAGCAATTTATCAAAGAGAAAATACCATTTTTTATCAGTTTCAATGGCAAGAGTGGCTATTTTGAAAATTTTGAAGAAAGATTACACATCCTTAGTTAATGATCATTATGACAGTGGAGTTTCAGCAAGATTGACAGAGCCATATTCGAGAAATTGTGCGGACTGCTTTAGTGGTCGAACAATAACAATATGTCTCCCTGACTTCGTCTGGGGTGACATAATATCTATAGCATAACTCAATGCAAAGCTACGAGTAGGTCTTCCGTCCAAATTTTGGTTCCGTTCATGAATGTAAATGTTCATTATGGAGAAATTAATTCGATTAAAAATAATAATGTTGCTCAGTTTTTTAATTAAATTTTAACATGGTAGTTTATCCTGATTTCCTTGAAGTTGAGCAATTCATTACTTCCGGTGTAAAAAAAAAAATGATGCCGTTCGATTAAAGATTAGATTGGGAGTCTTAAGTGATTAGCTGTTTGTCAATATCTGCAAAAAATAAGTCATTGCGGGCTACTTCCTGTTTAACATGAAGTGGTTGAAAGTGACGATACTCGATAGACGAAAAGGCCTGGCCTCGTCTGTGACATTCATAATCCCATTCCTTGCCTATATCTGTGAAAAATGCTTCGCACAGTGATTGATGTCTTTTTTTAAAATCTTGTTATTTTGTAATAGTCTTAATATTTCATCATTTAAAATGAGTTTGAAATGTGGTGACCATAAAAATTGAATTAATATTTTAATAAAAACATACTTAATTTAATGGATATCAGTTTTATACATGCTATACTTTTTTGCCTTTTTTATTTAACAGTCCTAATTGATAGCTTGAAGTTGCTGCATACATTAGAACTTCCTTAAGAGAAAACAACAATGAAAGGACTTTCAAAAGACAGTTTCACAGTTGCTGACTGGGCTGTATTCTCGGGAATCCTATTCATTTCGGCATGCATCGGAGTTTATTATGCTATGGCAGGAGGAAAACAGAAAACTACTAATGAGTTCCTAATGGGAAACCACACTCTGCAAATGGTTCCTGTAGCCATTTCTATTCTTGTTTCTTTTCTATCAGCCATTTTGATTCTGGGAGCGCCTGCAGAGATGTATACTAAGGGGACACAGTATTACTTGTATGTGTTTGGACAAATGGCGGCGGCAGCACTGGCTGCTTTCTTGTTTGTTCCACTTTTCTACCCACTGAAATTAACAAGCATGTACCAGGTTAGTATAAACCCCCTTCGGGAATTGTCATCATAGGAAATTAAAAGTTCCAATGCATTTAATTATATTTAAAATAGAGGGACCCTCACAATAGCTCAGTCGGTCGAACAATCGTTCCGTGATCGGAAGGTCGTGTGTTCGAATCACGGCGGCGACTGACCTAAGTCAATAAAAAAAAATATGTAACAACCGTTCCTTCATCAAGTGCTCATCACTTTGAAGTGTAAGCTGCATGTCTTTCGGATGAGGCTTTAGAAAATTGGACACCCTGTCATGGTAGGCATCCCTCATTGTTCAATGGCCCTGAGTGCTGATTAAAATCTAAATTTGAAGCCCTTCACCGGTATATGGTGACGTCTTTATTTGAGTGAAAATTTCTCAAACGGAACGTAAAACAACATTCATTCAATCAATCAATTTACGATTGAACAATTGAAATACTTTCATAAAAGAAATAAAATTAGGTTTCAGTGTTCATTATTTTTTAAAGTAGTCCTCTCCGATTTCAATACACATCTGCCATTGTTCTGCCCATGCGAGATTCACGTGATCCAGGCGGTCACGTGACATGCTCCATAGCGTTCTGTTCACAGAAAAGATTTATTATATATCTTATATATCTTACCATGCAAGCTATTTTTTCTAAAAAAAAAAAAAAGAACAGTCCATTTATCAGAAATGACCAAATCTCTGCAATAGGATGGGTGGATAGGGATATCCTTTCCTTTCCAAGAAAGAGCATTGTGACCATCACAACCCGACTCCTCTATCTTAGGAGCGTCGTTTATCCAATAAAGTATGAGCGTCTTCTTTTTATCATATCTGATATGTTTTAAGTCTAAATTAAACGATTTTTAGGGATTTAATAATTATATTATTGTTAAGATATTCACCTATTTTTCTAATTACTTTAACTTGGTGATCTTTCATAACAAATCACTCAACTACTTAAGGGCACATCTATTCCCCAGCTTGCTTTTACTGGGCAACAGAACAAACATCATAGTTAACCATCTCCCTTCCTATACTAAAACATTCCATCCAATTAATGATTGTACTCCTTGCAAGTCTTTCGTCTTTTTAAACCCAGTACAACTTATTACATACTATTGCAAAGGAATTTCCAAGATATACGTTCAACTTTACAGCCGTTCGAGTATGACAGAGTCAACCATTTTTTGAAACATGTCACCTACATATTGGCGTCATTTTCACATTGTGACGTCACAAACATGGAACAAAAGATTATATAACATCTGCTTATTATAAAACATGTGTATGGCTCTATATTTCCCCAATTTCATTCGATTTGAATTGTGATTTTATAAATATAGAGATAGTTCGCGAACTTTTTGATCACCACTCGTAAAAAGGAGGCTTCCAAACAATTTAGTAAAACCTTTATTTTTTCCTTTGCAGTATATTGAACTAAGATTCAAGTCCAGAGCTGCAAGACTGACGGCCACAGTCATAAATATACTGTCCTCGGTAGGTAGGAAATATTTATTTTCCATATAAAAAAGAACTCATACAGTTTTTGTATAAAGTGTATATTCATAAACAACTTAAACTGTTTCTTCTGTTTAATTAAACAATTTCAAATGAACTATTATTATCCTTTGCTTTTGGTAGGGGTTTTTAAATTCCTTGCGTTTTTACTTTGGTTTTACAGAAACTATTAACGATATATTTTTAACTCCATGCAATGATACAAATTGGTCACAGCAAGAGAATAATCTACATCTCTCTTGATTGTCATTTACATATAGTACAATTTCTAACATTCGTCTTGGTAATTTGTTAAATATAGAAGATTGTTTTTACATAGTATTTGGATTGCCCAGGTTTTGTCTACAGATTCATAGAAAGAAAAATATTTGAAAGACAATGAATTTGGCACAAACAAATATTTGGTAACATATAGAAGAGAAATTCATTATTCCAGCTTTGACGTCGTTTTCTAAATGTAAATAATGTAATTTACTTTTCTTATTTTGAATTAATCTGTGCCACAATATTTGACCTTAACCTTCCTATGAACGTGATTCACCCACCCCTTCATCTTGAATTTAGTTGTTTGTTTGTTTTTTTTTTTTTTACCTAGAATTGACCTAACATATATTTATTTTCTGTGAGAACAACTCAACCATCTCTATTCAGACGCAATTTACAGCTTTGCTACATACCTTTGAAGGAAATGTAAACTGAAACATTCCGTTTGAAGCTGCTTAATATTGATATCATTATATGCAAAATCATATGATGTGTTCAGCAGTTCAATTATTGATAGCATTAATTGAATTACATTCGATACGAATCACGGACAACAATTGAATTACATATTAAATTTAAAATTTTCAAATAACAAATTCATATATTAATTATTAAAGTTTATACATGTATAAATAATTAAAGTGAGTTTAAATTAATTTTGGAACAACTTAGAAATCAATATCCTTTGATTCAATGTTTCTTTATTCTTATGTTCTAAAATAACTGTAATTTTAACTGTTAAAATTTACATCATGATTATAGAACAATAAACTTGACCTGGCCTGCAAATGAAAAGACAAAAATATTTGAGATATACTTTTATTTTACTGTTCTTCGCTCTTCACTATGGTATTCAAGAAATAAACTGGATTACAATCAGATTCCCGATATGTTGCTGGGGAAAATTACGAGGCCGGCCCATAAGAAAATCGCCCCTCCTTACTTTTCATATGCACATGTATAAACTTTTAAGCAAACACTTGTGAACATCTCAGTTTTATACTATTTTCAAATATCATGTATAACGCCAAGAAACGACCGTTCGATTATTACAGATTACAGTGCAATTTTTTTTTTCAGATTAAAGTATATATTTACAGATTAATGTGTAAAATTTACAGATTATAGTGTAGATTTTACACATTAAATTGTAAATTTAAAATATTAGAGTGTAGAAATTAAAAAAAAACAAAAAAACAAAAACTGCCAAAATGGCAGCTAATATTCTTCCGTAATTCAATTAGAACGACAAATCAACTCCATAAACGATAACACAATGCAACAACTGCAGTAAACGATTTAGTTTAAAAAAAAAAAAAAATATAGACATTATCCCCTTTATTGTATGGTATGTTCAGGTCAGATAAAAAAATGAAGTACATTTCTATTCATGCTTAAGTGGAAAAATTTCATGAGCAGAAAATTTATGACAATATAAAGACATTGTGTATTTCCCATGTTTTCAAAAAAAAAAATTCTTGTGTTTCAGTTAATATACACCGGGATTGCATCATTTGCTCCTGCAACAGCCTTAGAAGCAGGTAAGTTTCAGAAAAAAATCTGTTTAAAGAGTTATTATGTTTAGATGATCATTGACTAGGGGGACATGCAAAATTGTAAATTATTGTAAATGTATGGCGTTGAAAAATCATTAATATTAAGTGTACCAAAAGAACTTAAATATTAATGATTACGGTCCCTCTTAAACAGGAAAAAAGAATGAATCCATTATACATGTATTTACTGTGAATACTTTGGCAGTTTATCATGAGAATCAAACATCGCACAGAGTTATCATCATTGCGTACTGTGCTTTTTTACTGTGTAAAATTTGTTTTTGTTTTATGATGTGTGTATCCTTTATATCTTACACAGTACCTCTTTCATTGTTAGCTCTATTACATGTATTAGTATGTTTTTATATAATGACGTTTTGCATTTTATGAGGTAATTAGTTTTTTAATCATTAAGTATAGAGATAACAAACAGTAATCAACCTCAAAATCCATTGACACAATAAAAAATTCAGAGCTAAGCAAACAACCCTAACAAAAAATACTATAGTTAACTATAGTTTACTGTAGTTAACTATAGTAAATCAAAGTGACAAAGTTGTCACTACAGCAAATCAAAATTTTCAAAGTGATCACTATACTGTCATAGTGATCACTATGGTATATCAAAGTTTTCAAAGTGATCACTATAGTGTGATAGTTATCACTTTTTCAAGGTTATCATTTATAAATCAAAGTTTTCACCATAGTAAATCCAAGTTTTCATAGTGATCACTATATTGTCATAGTGATCACTATAGTAAATCAAAGTGTCAAAGTTATCACTATAGTTAACTATAGTAAACTATGTTTAACTGTAGTATTTTTTGTATAGGGCGGACCTCTTAAAAAATCCACACAGGTGAGATCTGGTGCCATGGAGTACATGTACATGTAGTAATTATTCCCCGTCCCTGGTCACGCCCGCCGTGTGCATTCTGACATAGCATGTATTAAACATGCAAATATTGTTTCATTTTAATCAGCTGAGGAGAACCACATTCACGGGGCACGAAGGACGTGGTGAATATTGTACTTCTCAGGTGGCTCAATCATTGTATTGACTAAAAACATCATCAATTTTTATTTAAAAAACCAGCAATCACATGCCATAAAATTGTTTAGAAAACCATGCAACTTTAAGTGGTTGATCGTACATTTACTCGTATATTGTCTTTCGTTATTTTTTACCAATTCTAGAAATTATAGATATTTGTTGGCTCTTTATTTTAATTTACGGATGATTTCGTGCGATTGAACATAAGTTACGGTTATGATTTCTAGATTTTCGTAATAATGAATATCAGCCAATCCTTAAGCTAGGAGTTATTTAAGGAAAGAATTAAACAGTACATAATGTACTTCCCCTATTATTTACGGTAAATTCGGTTTTATGCAGCATTTCTATTATGATGACGACGATAAAATATTTACTTGGTTCTTTCAGCACCCGTCCGTCTTAATGTATTCCTTTTTTGATATGTGATATTGTACATGTACATACAGTATTTTATTAATGAAAACATGTAACTAATTAAATAATTATACTACTAAACTGAGATGAATAAATTAACTAAAACAGATATTGTCTTACCCCTCTTTCTTTCCTAAATTTTAAGGGAATATCTTCTCCCTGTGTTCTTTGTACATGTTTATTTCAATGTGTCTTGATTTTGGTGAATAGACCATAAAGTGATACATGATGGAACAAAAAAAAATCAACAAAAACAACAGCAACAAAAACAACAACAAAAATATCATTTAACGAAGAGAAACAGTTTACATGTACTAGTTCCTAATTTGTACTTTTTTAAACTCATAAATGTTCTAAGATCAAAAGCATTTAAAAAAAAAATCAAGATTGTACTTTGCATGGAAAATTTTATGCATGTGATATATTCTAAAAATGTTAATCCCTTATTATTAAAATAGTACCAAACATACGTGAATTTTTACCTCATTTCTTTTAAACACATTAGAAAAATATCCGAATTAATCTGAAGAGAAGAAAGGGAGATGTTTTCATTCGCCTCCCATGTTAGATCTTGAACAGAATACATCATTTCTAATTAAAGTTAAACAATTATAAGGAGAAAACAAATATACTTGAAAAAATAGAGATATATAACATCTTTGTTACTCTGTCTGTTTTAATTGATATTAAGACGGTTGTTTCGTTAACATATGACTTTTTGTAAAGAAATAATTGCTTAAATTTATTTAATATAAGTAATTTGCAAAAATGTCAGAATCTTCATTTTATCTTTTATGTTTTAAATTCCGAATATATGTATTTCATATAACAGTAACTGGTTTTCCTGAGTGGGGCTCCTTTCTTCTGATCGGTTTAGTTTGTACATTTTACACTTTCATGGTAAGTTTTGTACATGTACAACACTGTACCAGTAACAATTTTAATCTCTTTTTTGCCCTATTTTCTACATTAAATCTTTATAAATAACCACAAAGATTGCAAATAGTGGTAATTAATAGCTATTCTCTGTAACCATTTAAACTTCTTTGCCATGCATAGTCACCGATTTTGATGAAACTTTGTCAATTATTACTGCTTGACACCAGAAACGTATATCAAATAAAATTTGGTTGCTATGTGTCTTGGTTGCCATGGCAACAGCCGGAAAAGTTTGCATTGCTGCAAATGTTAACTATGGGGCTCTGAACATATTAAAAATGCCATTTTTCAAACTTTAGGACATGTTGCCATGATAACCATGACACATAGCAACCAATTTTTGCCTGATTTAAGTTTACTGTATCAAAGACTTTTATCATAGAGAGTTTAAAGAAATTTTGAGACTATGCCTGCCACAGCTCCTATATAAAAATTCAAGTCATTATAGAGAATGACTCTTAGTTTAAAATTAACATAAACAATTGGGATATAACTGCTTTTCTGGTCATTGGATAAACGATGCACACTGCTGTCCTATGCATATTATCATCAACGAAAATATGCACCTACCCTCCTTGCACATAAATCTTTGTTTGACAATTATTGCCATTGATTACAAGATTATTAATGTACAGGTAAATTTGTTCCCGGCAATAGTATTCCTTTTTCTTCGCTGTACGTTGTTGCTTGTCCGTTAGGATTGAAGCATTATAAAAATTATGATAATAATGATACAGAAGATAACAACTCTTCATTTTTAAATCCCTTGGCTACTTTAAGGTTCCTAACAAATGATCAAAAGGTGTTTTGCTTTTGGAACATTTTTTTCAGAATCAAGACAATACGTTATGATGAAACAGTTCAAACATTCATTGTTTACATTTAAATTTCCATTGAAAACACCAAAGATGACATGAACCTCGTAGTTATGTTTAAGCATTTCGAGAAGTTAATAATTTTTCATACAAATTAAGCAAAATATCCTTTAAAGCACACTGTGTTACAAGTGATAATAATAAATAACCATTTCTGTTCTTTGTTCTTGTATATTCATGCATGAAAAAGAAAAGCGGGACAGAGAAGTAATTTAATGATACGATTTTTTTTCCAGAAATTAATCTTCCAATGATTTTTTACGCAGATTATTTAGAACTAATACTTATACATGACAGTTGTGATTTTTCCTGTAGACATTTGACTACCTTAAATCGCAAAACATTTGGGAATACAAACTTCATACGTAGATTATTTGAAAATGTTATTAGCAGATGGATTTTTCAAATAAGAATATTTTGATTTCTCCAATTTCTATGCACAGTGTATAGGTGTTTTATACAGTTATTTTCGGTGTAATATTTCCCAATCGATCCGGTACTCAAGGACATGTTCTGATTACTCACACTTTCGCACATTTTTTCTTCAATATAATTACCTTGTTTGTAAATACAGCCTATTGTTGGATTTTATTTCAACGGACGTGTTTCACAGTAATTGTTATGCTACCGATTTAATACAAATTTTGACTACTGGTTTCTAAATTTAAAATACTGTCTAACGGCTGATATGACCGACTGACAGAAGATGATTATTCCTTCTCTTTATGATGTTCATGTTCTAGCCTTGTTTACGATTGTGGATGTTTTTTTTAATTTATTAGTCACTGTTTATTATCTCATTATCTTTTATGGATATTTATATACCACAATATCAAGTTATGCCTCTTTGAACATTATGCACATTTCCAAATGTTTTACAGTGTTTCAAAATTAAAACTAGATGATCGTTTCATTGCAGTGTTCCGGATAGACTTAAAAACTATACTAAAATGCTTGCAAATTTTCTTGAACATTACAGGGTGGGTTGAAAGCTGTTGTGTGGGTTGATGCATTTCAGGCCATCATCATGTTTGGTTGTCTATTTACTATTGTGATTAAGGTACGATGTTGATATGCAACACATGTTTTTTTTTATTAAAGCAATCTTGAGAACATAGAAGACCTTTCAGAATGTCAACAATGGACACTAGCCGTTTTTATTTGTCCAGTTTAAGTACCCCAAAAATATTTTAGCAAATAATATTCATGTAAAACCATCATGGCATATTGAGATTTAAAAACAATTCTAATGAAGTTGTGTACTATAATGATTTAAAGTTGTGACTTTTTAAGGCCACTGTAGAAGTAGGAGGTTTTTCTAAAGTGTGGGAACTGAATGACCAGTGGGGTCGAATAAACTTTTGGAAGTAAGTTGACATAGAATTCCAGAGTTATCATTGATGAAAATCGCTTTTATACGGTACATGCAGGATGGATGCAAAAAATGAAATTTTACGACATCTAATTTAGAATCTTTTATGTGTTTAGACCAACAGATCTTGTGCATAAATATGAAGTCTGTATCTTCCTGCAAGCCTTATCTTTTATCATAAAATTGATGAAGGCATTTAAGAGTGACTTTATGTGAACATAACCAAGCAGTTATTTCAGATTTTGCAAGCTGCATTGCCTTACATTAACTTTATATACACTGAGAATAATAATGAGAGTAATAAAAGAATCTTTGACATTTTGCATCACAGGATGAAACTCTGCGATTCAGTCTACTGAATTGTTAGTAAAAGAAATGGAATGGTGATTGGATGACAGAAATATGCCATTCAGTTCCTTTTTTCAGGGAACATTTCAATCAAACTACATTTAACCATTTAATTGATCGAAAGGCAGAATTTCATCCTGTGTTTCTCAAACGCAATGGTAAAACTTCAGTCTCAGCCAAGCTTTCTGATACTGATATTGTTTTATCTCTATTTTACAGCTTTGATTTCGATCCAACAGTTCGACACACCTTTTGGGCATTAACAATTGGAGGCATGATCAACTGGGTGGGGACATTTGGAGCAAGTCAACAGAGCATACAGAGGTTTAGTGCCTTGCCCTCACTCAGGGAAGCGAAAATGTAAGCAGGGTTCCGACAGTATCTAGAATACACAGTTGAATTTCGGTATCTATGTCATCAATATTTCGAAACAATGTGGAGAAAAGGCCCGGTCACTTCTGTCTTTTTATAATATAACATTTAATTCATCGAATCTTTGAATAAATAAAGAGCTTTTATATTCTGGCACAATTCAATCTGAGATCTTACCAAAATTATATTTAATTAAAAATAGCAAAGGTCTGCCAGGCTTGAAAATTAAATGAGAAAATTTATTTCAGCGCTGTTTTGCTGAACTGTTTTGGACTCTTTCTGATGGTAACAACAGCGTGTTTGGCGGGGATTTCTGTTTTTGCTTTCTACGCAATAAAAGGATGTGACCCATATACAGATAAAGAAATCAAAAGTTCAAACCAGGTGAACTCAGTATTATTATCATACAACACTGTAAAGGCTACAAAAAGAGTGCTGAGGTAAAAAAAAAAAATAGGTCTGTTAATACCGCGGCGCAGTTGGTACCTATAAAAATATTTTAAACTGTAAAACAAAGTAACGAACTACATCAAAACTTACCACTGTATTTTTTTTGTCGCTAGTTAATCCAACACACCAATGGATAACAAGTCTTTCATAGAAAGAAACTGGGGGGATAAACCGAGCCATATGCCTACATAACGATCGATAAAAAATCAGTAAATTCATTTAAAAAAAAATCACTTTTTGTTGAATGAATGTAATGCTTATTATCATTTGCATACAAATTTGACAAAACCTGAATACTGTAACAGCGAAAATGATTCTGATTAACACAAAAAAATGGCATCACGCTCACAAAAATTGACATAAATTGGATGATATAACTACATTTTTTAAATAGAATGGGTAATCGTACCATTTTTTTGAGAACGATCAATGAAAGGCAATGGAAAGATGTTGCTTTTTACACTTGCAAAAATTTGGTACGAAGACCCACTCTACATAAAAAATTAAGTTGACTTACTTAAATTTTCACCGTGGTTTTAAAAAAGGCTAAGTCCAAATACGCTTGCTAAATATAGAGAACTGTACGCTATTTAAGTGGGTATGTATGTGTGACTCCGTGGTATAGTGGTTAGCGAGGAGCTATTTAAGGGACGTTTATTGAGGAAAGTGTTCGAGTCATATTTTTTTTTTTTTTTGGGGGGGGGGAGGGTTTTGGGGAGAGATTTTACTTTATAAAAAATGTCTATAGGAATAACATATTTTTCACTGGAAATAATATATATATATATATATATATATATATATATATATATATATATATATATATATATATATGTAGTAATGAACTCATTTACAGTAAATTATTTAAAATTCCGGATAAAAATTATAATAGATATTTGAATACTTTTATTCCCGTTTTTATTTATTTTTACTACAAGCGCTTCTAGATCACCACTATCATTATATACAATGTTAACATTTTTATAATATCTCCACAATAAGTGTTAACACTCAATATGCAGATTAATTAATAGAAGTCCCTACCCATGTTAGACACTTGTGACAGTAAATGAACGTCAACTGTTTAGCTTGTTTAGAATATAAATATCATTTTGAGAACTACTGTAAGCATTAAAATGCATAAGTAAATTCGAACAATTGAGAGATTTTTTCCAATAAATATTCTTGCATAGCCGAAAGATGGGCACTTGGCTCGTCTTATTCCCCCAGATTCTTTAAACTAATACTATCTCGAAGTCTGATGGGGAATCGATGAAGTTCCTGGGGTCAATGTTCGTGGACCAGCATAATCTTCCTTGGTCCTCGGAACGTAATTTCGTAGGTTACTCTTTTACACGGTAGATTCAATAAAGCAATATATTAACGAAGTCAACGTTCCTGGAGATGTGAATTCATGGGTAACGTTGACCCACGAGATCCACGAACTTTGATTCTCCTCAAACGATGATGATTCCACAGTTTTAAAAACGCTCTTCACAAACAATGTGATATATGCAAACAAGCTATCAATTAATCTTTAATTTGAATGGGAAATATCCTTGAGATATCAAAAATTGCTGTATTACGTCCATGCAGTACACATTATATGCATTAATAAAGTGACTGTCAAATAAGGTGACCAAAATAAATTCAGCGTAGCGTTGGGTTTATTATTTTATTTTAATTAATATAAAAGTAATTTCTATAGTGAAAGTGCTATTTTAGTAGTATAGGTAAAAACATCAACATTTATATTTGAATTTTGCAATGTTTTAAAAATAAGTATTTCTTATAGATAAATGAAGAAATAAGTATATTCAAATTATTATTAAAATACTTCATGTATAGACAAGAAGTCTTAGTTTTATACGAACTTATTATTTCAACAACATTGATCGAAAGCAAAAAGTCCAGTTTATTGAACCCTGTTTTAACTATTCTTTTATATCAATATGACCAATTATCGTAACCTATTGAATATTCGTTTGATTTTGTGAGCTATTCGTCCTTCATGAAAAGGATGAAGATAACGAACAGCGATCGATCTCGAAAAAAATATTTAAACTAATCTGTTAAGAGAGATTAAATTCCAGAGGTAGGATCAGGTGTCTGGGATGAGGAAACAAATCAGTCAAAATAAACCTAAAAGGTTATACATGTATTTGCTATCAAGGTCATTATAACCACCACGAAATCCTGACTTTAACCAAGGCTCTATAAATCCCTGTTACATCAACTTATCTGACGGTAGCTTGCCTTGGTTTAAAATCTGATCGTACTCGTAGCATGCTCTTGAGTATCGAATAAATTGGGAGATATATTTTTATATACTGTATAAAATGATTCGCGATTGACTTACTAATGTCTAATTTTTTTTGCAAGGTTCAACTGAAAAATTCAGATCTCTATTTTCTTTTATTAATCTAAGTATATTCTTAAATAATTTTTGGAATATGAGATTTATATGTGGTGTTTTTCCCGAATGAATGTTTAAAAAGAATTTTTATGAAAATGGTCATACTTATCTTATAATCCCCGGAATTGTTCATTAAATGCTACATTTTGCAAGAAAATACAGATTTTCTATGACTCTTTTATAAGTTGAAAACAGAATTTTAGACCAAAATCTAGGTTCCATAAAATTGACACATATCCGAATATATTTGTTAAATGTGATACAATTACACGTGACCTGTATATATATATATATATATATATATATATATATATATATATATATATAAATATATATATATATATATATATATATATATATATATATATATATATATATATATATATATATAAATATCATATCATATCACTTAAATCATTATTTTAAATCATTATTTTAGATCATCCCACTCTTCGTGATTCAAATGTTGCATGTTCCAGGAGTACCTGGTTTGTTTATAGCTGGTCTCTTTAGTGGTGCTTTAAGGTTAGAAATAATCTTAATTTACACAGAAAGACATTTCTATGTTGAAAAGGAATTTTAAATTTGTCGATGTTAAAATCTTATTTTTTTACTTACTAGAGGAAATCACAAAAACCCGGAGGTATCATTCAAAACCTCTTTTTTTTCATTTTTTAACATATTTTCTCTAAATGGAGGTATTATATGGGAGAGGATGCAATTGATATACATTGTATTAAATTCCCAGTTTAATATAAATATCTTAAAGCTAACAAAATCATTATTTCTAACCAAGAGGTTAAAACTGTTTTTTTTTTTCTAATTAATTTAAAAGATTTTTCCCCATATTTCAGTTCTGTATCATCCAATCTCAGCTCACAAGTAGCCACATCATGGGAAGACATCATAAAACCTCACGTCAAAAATAAATCTGATAGAGTCCAGGCATGGATAACCCGTATGTTAGGTAATTCGTACCTCGGTATTAAGTATTAAGTAAAATTCGATATGATGTTATTAGTTTATATAAAATGACTAATATTTTCAGTGATTTTATTTGGAATTCTGGGCTTGGGAGTTTCTTTTGTCATAAAGAATTTTGGAGGAACTGTGTTACAGGTAAACAGTTAGAATATCAAATTATGAATCTCTGATATTATATGTTGGGGACATTTTTTTTTTCTTCCATGCTTTATTATTATATTCAATGCTCTGAGATAAAGATTTTTTTCTAATAAGATGTCTTTATTGTAACATTCCCCATGCAGGATCAGTGTGAGATAACAAATTTTGAGTCTCAGGAATTGGATGTTTTTTAACTGTAGACAAAAAATGTGATTTATTCATTTATTGAAAAACGAATTTACGTTTTTGTCAATTATTGTATAAATACCCTATAGAAGAGAAAAATGATTTGACAGTAACGTATGTAAAAAAAAAAACTAGGTCATTTAGAGCTTTGCCTTTGTATGAAGACACCAATGTATGGAGCTTTAAATAGTTATCTGACAATATTCTATTAGATCTAATATAATGGCTCAATGGCTTACTGTTATCAGTGTAGCAATCAAGACCAATTATCCATAGCATTATTCTGCACACTTATGTAACATAAACATTTTCAGGTCAAGTAACTTGATTATAAATTAGAATTGTGAATTGAGTCTTAAATTTTTTTCTCTTTGTTTTAGCTCTCTCTAAGCTTTATGGGGGCTGCTGGCGGGGCATTAAATGGATTCGTGGTTCTAGGAGCGTTTTTCCGGTCATGTAACTTTATTGTAAGTTAGTTTAAAAAGAATTACACAATATTGTGCAGATATATAAGACCGGCTTTAAGAACATAAGAAGCCAATTTTAGGTGGCAATACGTTTAAATTTTAAAGATTGTAATATACTATCAATATGTGCATCACTAGCTAACAAACACATATAATGCAGACGTAAAAAATTATTGATGTTGGTATGTTTAACCACAAATTAATTAGTAATACTTTCCTTGTTAAAAAAGTGCAAAGATACAAAGTCTGACAATTTTTTTCTCAATAATTTAGTATTTTTATTAAAAATAATTAATTAAATCAACAGTGCTCCCAGGAAATGCATATTTATTCTAAGTTTATTCGGTGTAAGCTGTGTTTTACATAGTCACAATCTTCAGCTTACATAATATCTTAGTCAGCAACACATAATGGTCTGTACAAAAGATGAGATTTGTTCTATAATGTCATTGTATTAATATAAATAATAATTTTTTGAGGACAACTGATCAAACTATTGAAATTAGGCACTTGAAAAGAGCAGAGGAACGTGGGAAAGTTTCTCGGTTTTTAGTTGTTAATCTTTAGCTATTGTAAAGAAGTCCCTAATTATAGCATTCGTTTAATTTGCAGAGAACTCAAAGGCAAATGTTTTTTTTCAAAAGCAAATATATTCTTCACCTAATTTTTTGAATCTATCCTTTTAGGAATATTACATTTTAATTTAATTTTGTTATTGGAGATAAAAAAAATTAATTTCATAAACCATGGAAAACTTGGAGGGTGTTAACTTATGAAAAAAAAATCTTATTGATGCTACGCTTGTTTTGATGCAAAATGAAGAGATATTTGGGCGTTATCCATTCACATTCTCAAGTCCCCTATGTATTTTTAACCCCTAACTGAAGTCTACAATATCAACGAAATTGGAATACTTTTAAAGATTCTACCCCGCCCTTTAAAAAATGCATCATATTTTCACTATTGGCCGCCAAATTGACATGATTATGAAAATTTTAACCCATAAGAAAATATCCATCAATCACTGTTAAAAGAAATAAAATGAATAACCTGCAGGGAGCTATGGTGGGACCACTTGTATCCTATGCTGTGATGATGTGGATCGGTATTGGCAAGTACAGTGTGATAGGAGTAAAGGAAAAATTGGACTTCCCTTCAGAAACCTGTTCTGCTAATCTTAACCTAACGCCTCCCACGACATTTATGACCCCCATGATCCAAGATAATCTAACTGGTTTTAATTTTTCCACGCCTAATTTCGACCAGACTGTGATACTCACCAATATCTCTACTGCTATCACAACACAGGCAACTGAAGTAGCCGAAGAGAGGTGAGGTTTAGTACAGTAAACTAAGCATTCAAATTCATTCGTTGATTTTTTTTCCTAAAAAACACAAAAAACAACAACAGCAAAAAACAAACAAACAAAAAAAAAACAACAAAAAACAAACAAACAAAAACAAAATAAACAAAAACAAAAACAAACAAACAAAACAAAACAAAGAAAGCAAAAAAAAAAAAAAAAAAAAAAAAAAAAAATTCCTTGCATAACGTCACTAATATATGTGAATTTACCGGATATAATAAATGTATCTGGTTACTGTGTGATGCTTTTTTTTATGCAAATTTGGTTCTTTGTTCCCTCCAAAATTGTTAATCGCTCCTGCAGTTAGATTTATACGTAAAAAAAATGATGGCACTGGAAACAAGAATATGACTTTTATTTTGCATGTTTGCAAAGAGGTATGCCACCCCAGAATAATTAATTTTTATTAGATCTTTAAAGCCTCTCTTTGAAATTTAATTTATCATTGAATAGCCAATTTATATTTAATATCTTGATTTGATAGAAATATCCAAAAAGCATATGAAGAAGAATGCTTTGTCCCCTAGACAATTTACTTATATCACTAAAAAGTATGGAATTGAAAATCAAATTTCATTGATCTGTTTTCTCTAAATCTATGGATTCACATTCTGCAAATGTAAATAAAATATTTTGCAGGGTTTCCCAGAATATATTATGCTCTTTGATGATTCTGTAAAACTTAATGTAATGAATTTTGTATTACACCAAATGCATTATACATGTAAACATTGCAAATACTGTCCAATTTTATTCACACAATTCGACGATCATTCGAAAACCTACTAGAGTTGTTTACATTCAAAGAAAAGATGCTTTCTAAATGGCGTCCATTCTTGGTAATGATCATGTCTCTTGATTGCATGTACATGTAATTTCTTAAATTAGGACAGCAGCGCATCCTCGTAGTTGTCTTCTGGATTGCTATAGGAAGTATTCCCGTTTAGATACGTTAATGATTCAAGTTTGTGTTAAGAAAGTTGAGAATGGGTTTAATAATTTCAGTTCCATAATGAGAGTATCTTGCCGTTTTGATAAATCCATTTAGATTGAGATTCGTTTATTTTTTTTTAGCAAAACTGTGTAATTTTATGACATCACAATTCCAAATGAATCAAAATATTTTTGGGAAATATTTCTTGCTTAAAATTCGATTTTTTTCCAATATAAGATGAGACATGTACTAAAGAAATATATTTAGGTCTAATTTCTTGGCTGTTATTTCAATATATATATATATATATATATATATATATATATATATATATATATATATATATATATATATATATATATATATATATATATATATATATATATATATATAGGGACACCCTATATATTCATATTTCATATTGTTAAGAATGGAAGAAGAATGCGAAATTGATGAAAATTGAAAATTAAAGTTAAACCTATTCCAATATTTCTTAAATTTATCCTGAGTTGTACTTTTTAAAATTACTAAATGAATAATTTGCTTGGTGATACTAACATTTCAAAATAACTCATAAAGCAAGTGGCTTTCACTGTTGGAAAATACACCATATTAATGGTCATTTGTTTTTTTTAAATTTAATATTTTTTTTTCATCATGATTGGGTTTAATCAAGATTGGTCAAATTTGAAACTTACCCCCTTTTTTTTTTTAAATTTTCGACCTTATTGTATTTTTTCTTAACAAATGATTGCACCATATTTCTTTTTTGCATGAAAACACTTTCCACCCAGAGTTTCCATATAGTATTGACACATGTACCAGAACCAAATGTGGTGTAAAAATGAAGACGAACCTGCTTTTTTACTCACATTTAATAAAATCTATCATATCTTTCTTCATAATTTGGTCAACTCTATATGACCTTCATTCAGTTTCTTGTTTTTTTGTTCTGTTGATCAGTTCTTCATGACGTCCATTCAACGTCCTGTTTTGTGTCTTAAATCAACTTTCCATGTCCTATATCAAATTTCCAGTTTTTTATTTTTAGTCAACTCCTTATAATCCTATTCAGTTTTTTTTTTCGGGGGGGGGGGGTATGTAGGTCAAAGTTTCATGACCTATGTTAAATGTTTTGGGTTTTTTTCTTTGTAGGTCTTCCCTTCATGCTCTATACTCCTTGTCCTATTTGTGGTACTCCACTCTAGGATTACTTATAGCAGTCATTGTGGGTCTCTGTGTCAGTTTAGCTACAGGTTAGTGTATCAATAATCTTCCATGTGTGAGCACAAAGCTAGAATAATATTTCTTCTTACCACATCTCAGGTTTACATCACTGTACTTATCATGGACATTGATAAATGCCTTGATTCTACCTAAAGTATTAGATATTGATCTTTTTATTTGATATAAGACAGTGCCAAAATATTGAAAACAGATTGTTTGATTATGTTATCTTTTATATTTTCGAAGGACCAATGAAAGCAGACGAAGTAGATCCAAAATACCTAATACCCATCTGTGATTGGTTATGTTGTTGTCTACCAAAGACCTGGAGGAAGAAATTATGTCATTGTACAAGCTATGAAGAGGTAAATTAAGACAATTAACGTCTTGAAAAGTGTGGAAGTGCTCTATAGGTGCCACCCTCTCTGTCTGTTAGTCTATCATGTTCAATGTCTCTCCATCTCTCTGCCCACGTTTTTGCCAAACCTGTTTCTTGTGATTGTATTAAACTGGAGTTATATCTGATGTTCAGCATGTGGTACATGTAAGGCATATTTTTATGTCTTTGCGTCTGTTGAAGCTCGTCTTTATAATAAAATGAATTGAGAGAGAGAGAGAGAGAGAGAGAGAGAGAGAGAGAGAGAGATAACGTTTCCTAATTAAAACTAAAATAAGCCTACCTTGTTTATTTTTCATACTTATTGCAGTCTATACAAATCTCAGTCCTTAACAGTCAATTGATGGTTAATGAACAAATTTATGTGCAAGTTTTTCTCTCACGTTATTATAACTTTTTTTTATACCCTACTTCAAAGGAGAGGGAAATTCTGTTTTACGCTTGTGTGTCTGTTTAGCTGTCTGTGTGTTCGTTTGTCTGTCCGTTACAAATTTTCGTCGCCGTTTTTTTAGCAACTACTCACAGCAGATACCTTAAATTTTAGCACAGTCTTTGTTTAGGCATGCAGTATGGTGGGAATCATTTTTGTTCAAATTCGATGTCAACTTCCTGTGTATCGGTGTGTCTGTCCGTTTCAATTTCTATCAAAATTCTTCATTTTGATTCAATTACCTATCTAATTGAATTATAGTTCTCCACAAATGTAATAAAATATAATTAAGGATATTGTGAGTAAATACTTTTTTTCTGTAAATGCAAAGAATTGATGTTATTTTCACAGGTATTTGGCTATTAACATTTGTTAATACCAAAATATTTATCAATTCCTGTTTTTCGTTGACTATTTTTGGCATGAAGTTTTCTTTTCAGTTCATTTTTATCTGTCTCCTTTTATGCATCATTACTTTGACCATCTATTCATGCATAAATCCTTAAAAATGTTTATGTGAAAAATAATAAATTTCTAGTAATATCTAATTTTAGAATGAAAATGTAAGAATGAAAATATTTTTTTTTCAGATTTATTTTAATATATATAATATATATAGTATAATAATATGCATGTATGTATACATTTTTGATAAATTAAAATTTTATTACTATTTTAAATAAAATGTTTTTTTTCAAACAAACCTTAGCTCTATATGCCTTTACCATTATAACAAGTATTAATTTATCATTTGTTTATTTTACGTTCCTAAAATTTTCTTCTTGTATTTCTCTGTACCTCACTGAAATTTTCGATATTTTATCATATCCTTTGGTTTAACATGCTAGGACCAGTCCCAAAGCGATCCAGAAGGAAACACAGAGTCGTTCGCTGACATTAACGTGGTCCTTAAGGAGATTAAAGAGATAAGTAATGGAGATGGAAATCAGACAATGGAGGTTCAAAATTTGTCTGCAAGAGATTTGTGGAAGTCTGATATCAGTCATTTTGTCCATTCCCAGTGAGACTAGAGGAACTGTACTGGCTAGACAGTAAACATATCATTGTGTTCTGTCCTTTGTATTTTGTTTATGTGAGACTAGACGTTGTTAAACTGTAATTTTTTTTTAGGTTTTCCTGTTAGAATTTATGTAATCATGTTTTTGACGGCTTTCCCCATGCCGTTTTGAAATTATAGCGTCAATGAACATTTTTTTTTATCTTTTTCTCTGCCCCTTGCAATTGTCCATTGTTTAAGTGAAACTGAACGTTGTTAAAATGTAACTCGATTGAACGTATCTTGTTACAATTTATATCACAACTACATTATAATCAGTGAGTTGTATATTGGAAATGTAAAATAAAACATGTTTTTTATTCTCTCTCTCTCTTTTCTTTTTTTTTTTTTTTTTTTTTTTTAGATTTTGTTGGCGATTTTGTGGGATATTTTTATTCACTGCTTTGACATTTGCCGTTTGTAAAACATTTTTTAAATCTAAGTAAATTGGACTTAATATAAGTTCAGATCAACATATGCTGTTAAGGGGAAAAAAGATTCTAAAGGTTTGATACATGTACTACTGCAAGTTCCTTGCCAGTCAGGTGATATTGAAACCCAACTTTTTTCACATATATTCAGCTCACCTGAGCTGATGAAAGATCGAATCAGCTTTCCTGATCACCCGTTGTTCCGCGACCTTCCGTTGACCGACCGTTCGTCTATAACCTCTTCACAAATGCAAGAACAGGGCGAATTTTAATCAAAGTCGATTCAAAGAATATCTGAATAAAGGGAATTCTAATTTGTTTAAATGAATTGAAAATTCCCCTTACAGCGGGCGATAAAAGAAGCAAAATAGGATCGGGTCTTTTCCTAAAGAACCAGTGAACCAGAAAGTCTGAAGCTTAATTGGAAAATTGCAGAGACAGTGTAGATTCTAAATTGTCCAAATGATGATCCCCAAGGAAAGGATGGGGCAATAATAGCTAATAGCAAAGTTTACCACTGAAATATATACGAAAAATCTTCTCAGAAACCAGTATCCCTGGCGGAAAGGTTGGTCCCACAATATGCATTACATAGGGAAAAATCTTTAAAACTCCTATTCTCAAGAAGAGCAAGATCATGATGAATCATATTCATTTTGAAGCATCTTCTCATATTATAGATTTATTTGTTCAAATCATGACCCCTGTTTGCAGGGTTGGGCCATCTTTTTTTTTTATTTTACAGTTTACATATTTTATATAAATACTCATGGGTTTTAGCAGACCATCTAAATAGATAGTTATGATGGATATGAATACTTCAAAATTGTGAAATTCATGGCTCCTTGTTTAAGGGGTTTTGTGTTAAAGAGGGGTTACATTGAGTATGGAGTAAATGCATAAGTTATTTTAAATATTTTTTAATTATTGGTATTTAGTAGATAAATCAATTGCATGGTTATGATAATTAAACATTTCCATTCCAAAATTTGAAAAAAAAAATAATGACCCCTGGTCAGGTTCTCTTGTGTGAAGGCAGTTGTTTTTAATTTTGCTGTGGGAATATGCTGTTTTTTAAGTGTTTCTCTCTGCAAATAGCAAATATACGCATCTATTGTGTGATTTGGTATAACATTTCACTTCTGTTGATTTTTTTAGTGTGTGATTTCTATTTTTAATAGCCTCTTTATGATATTTTGGTGTTCAGATTACTTAGAGTTTGACAAAGCTTGTTGTAAGGTAATTCAATGACATTCGTAAGACTTGATTGAAGAAATTCCACACTTGTAGACTTGTAGTAAATATCAATTAGAAAACACAAGGGCAAGGGGAAACGGAAACACCTTATCACGATCAAAGCAGGGACGTTGAAACAACTTATCTTGATATCATTATCACTGCCTGAGCCACATGCCTTGGTCAATATTGAATAACAAACCATATTCACCACCGAAAGAGTCCATAATTGTTTTCTTATATTGTCAGGATTTGAATGAATAAGAGATTGAAGGCTGCATGACGATTCCATTTTCATTTACGAACTTCTTTCGTAGAAAAATGAAAAAAAAAATGTAGATTACAACTTATAACCTCCTTGTTTTTCTTTCGATACAAGTATAAGACATCGAAATGTTTTAAAAAGTATTCTTTGATAGACTTGTCTAATGCTTTTCCCTGCTGTACATATAGCTAGCTCCGGTCATTGCAACCATTGTTTCAACGTTGTTTGAGGTATTGATTTTGACGTCACAGTGCCACTGCACGTGCACTGACCCTCCAGTGAATACGGCTTCCAACCCAGTGATTATGCAGTATTATGAATTGTTTGCGTTTGTATAGAATATGTAGGGATTATTTATAGACTATATAATAATGTCTGTTATATTTTCAATATATAAATTTTCCTGGTATTCTATTTCATATCCATAAAACAGCCGTAAAAGTTGATGGAGTCAATACTTATCTAAGTTCCTTATCAGAATAACTCATGTACATATTTGTAGTCTGTGTGCCATCAAAATTTCCATAACTATCTATTACTTAGTATATGATTTATTTTTTAATGTAAATAATTTTTTTTTATCTGTTCATTCTTGTACATATTGATTCTTATTTATTTCTTTTATTCAAACTATAAAGTATTTCTAATGATAAATTTTATCAAAATATTTATTATATAAGATGATATCTTGGAGGTACGCTTCCAGATCAAAAGTTTGTTGATTTTTTTTCATTTTCAACAAATGATAGACAAATTCATCTAGTAATGATAAAAACATTGCAAATGCATCATGAATGGATAAAAGGTCATACATTGATACTATAATATTATATCATTTTTAAACCATATGTCATTGAAGTTAACTACAAAGTAAAAGTTATGTTATTGCTGCATGAAAAAAAAATTAAGTTAAATAACTCGAATTTGTTTGCATCTCGGCATGGGTATGTTCAGCATTCTATTTCAAGCATCTTACGTACATAACATTTGCTTTTTCTATGCGTTTATTCAAAGGGTAAATATAACCTTTGATAAATGTACTCAGAGCATGATTAGTTTTGATTGGTAAAACAGTATTTATCACACGAGCATGAGTAGTTTTGATTGGTAAAACAGTATTTATCACACGAGCATGAGTAGTTTTGATTGGTAAAACAGTATTTATCAAACGAGCATGAGTAGTTTTGATTGGTAAAACAGCATTTATCACGGGGTTCAGTGTACCTTTACTTTGCAAAGGCACTTGTTACTGACACTCAAAATCACATGCCTGATTTGTTTTGAAGGAGTTATCAGATAATGATTAGCTCTGTAAATTGATAACCTTTTTTTCGAAATAAGACTTAATAACGTTAGGCACTTCCTTGTATGCATTTATAAGTTGGACAACTCATTATCTAAAGTGGCATATCTGAAGGCGCGTCTATATGATCAAGATTAACTTAACTATTGATACAAAAATGCCAACAATCTCGTTAAATTTCGGCTACTGCAAAATCTATGGTCGATAATATCAGCTATTTAGAAAATAAAATATATCGTTTAGTCGAATGTTAATCGACGTTTTGCAACAAATTGTTTGGTCATTATTTTTACACTGGATTTTTTGCAGAACTTTCCCCTTTTCTGATCATGACAAGGAGCACAATGAAGGTGTGTCCGGACAACAAGATGTGCTGACTTTTTTTTATTTATATACAAGAGTTTGTATAATTTCTTTAAATATATGGTCACTAAAATGAAAATGCATTTATGTCTTTATTCCTGAATTTTTCATAGATTTGGCAGTTCAACCAATTCTGATGGTTTTATATGCATGTAGATGCTCAATATAGAATCATTTCAATTAAGTTACTATGATTTGAGTACTTATGAGACGGATTAAAACATTTAAGGTTTAAACATTCAAAATATCAATTTTTAGAAATAACAGTCACACCCTTGTGATCCTAGAGAAGTTATAATGTTGATTGAACATTTTACGCTCAGCCATTCTTAGGTTAGTCTATACAAGGCGCGGATTTACATTTTCTTTAAGCAATAACAGCAAAGGGTATTGCTTGACCAAAGCAAATGCAGGCAAATGTTTTTAAATCATCATAATAATAATTAACCAATTTATTCTTTTCAAGGAAACAACAGCCGGTCCTTCGGATGAGACAGTATAAACCGAGGACCCGTGTCGCAGTAAGTGCTGGCACGAAAAAAATCCCTCACTGCTCATTGGCCATACGTGCCGAGTATAGGACAAAATTTGCAGCTCTCCACTGGCAAGTGATGGCGTCTCCATATGAGTGAAAAATTCTCGAGAGGGGCAATAAACAATATACAATATACCTCACATAAATAATCAATAGTAAAATTAAGTCTGATTGGCCGAGAGAGTCACGTGGCCATCGTGTTTGCCCTGAAACCAAACGTCGTGTTTAACGATTGTGACGTCACAATGCAGCGACTGAGATGGTCACTTCTGAGATTGATTACATCGTTGATTGATTGTGTTCATTCAAACGTGTAAAATATAAATATTTAGAATAAATCACAAGAATAAATCACACGAAAATAAATGTCACGAAGGATTTTTTTTTTGTGAAGCGCGGTGGTGTACATATATAACTTACATCAGTTTTATATTGTTCTTAACAAATGTTTACTTTATTCATTAAATCTTCTTTATATTTTCTGCATTGAGCTTGATTCGGAATAATAAACAATTTATAACATGAATGTTCAGGAGACATGAAGATTTCTTCGCCCACGAAAAATCATATTCCCCTCGGGCATTGCCCTCGGAACCTCCTTCACTATCATGCAATAAATGTTTAAAATCATGCATACGATTTTATTTATTTATTTATTTATTTTTTTTTTTTTGCTGACGCAAGACAGAATTCTTTACGTTTGAAAAAGATAAACGGAAGCCGTAGCTGGGGAAATTTATTTCACAGGTCTACGAAATCCACCGAAACACTGGCATTTCCATCTTATGAAGGACAGATTTTCCTGGAAAGCTACAATGAAAATATTGTATTAGGAAAATTCAAGTCGCCATTTATGAATTTATTATTGAAATATAGATATAAAAACAGTAATCGAGCTCAAATATCCACTGCAACAGTACAAATTGAGATTAAAAACACGGACCTTAAAAACATTAGAGGTGGGATCAGATGTCATGGAGGAGTAAGCTTTCCCTGTTGATCGTCCACCTCCAGTGCGTATTCCTTGCAATGATTGGAAAAACGGAAAAAAATCTATCGACAATTGAGTGTGTAAATAATGACCTAACAATAAGTTTAAAAAACGTAATTTCGAAT